TTCACAATTTGAAACTTCACCAATGTTTGATTTTCCAAAAACACCTTTAGTTTTAAGAGCATTCAGACCTTTTGTACCAATGTGACCAAGTCTACCATGCCATAATTTTGCTAGATTAAAATCATCATTTAAAACTGTATTAGACAGACCCATAAGAGGTTTAGCATTTAAGAAGTATAGACCATGTCTCTTTGGGATATAAGTGACTAAATCACTTCCCCTAAAGATTTTTGTTTGTCCTTGACCCAATTTTATGTCAAACTCCATATCATCTAACATTCCTAAGGAAATTAAGTTTCTTTCTAAATCTGGTACAAATCTGGTATTTTCTAAAAGTAAGATTCTGCCATTTTCTAAAAGAAGTTTTATGGTTCCAATACCTTTAACTTTGCAAGTCATGTTGTTCCCCATGACAACTTGTCCTCCATTAGACTTTTCAAAATTAAGAAAGTAGTTTTTCTTAGGACACATGTGGAAAGAACATCCTGAATCTAGAATCGACTCTTGATTTAAGTTTCTTTCAACATTAACAAGGACTAAACCATTGTCAGATTGAAGTGTGTCACATGACATAATAGTATTTCCCTCACTGACTTTCTTCTCTTTAGAATCATTCTGTTTTTTTATAGCAATCCTTAGCAAAGTGACCTAATTTACCACAATAATAGCACTTTTTACCTTTTGCCTTATTCTGAGATCTTGTTTTATCAAAAAACTTCTTTTTAGGTTCATTAGAAAATTTTGAATGAAAGTTTGATCTACCAACAATTTTACTTTTTATCAGTAAATTTTCACTATATTGTTTATTGGTAGACTCAGATTTCAGTTCAAGTACCCTATTTCTTAAAGCAGTTATTATAATATCAGTGGTAAGACTATCCCTACCATACTCTAAGGCATTTTTAAGGTCTTTGTGTCTGTCACTAATGGAGTTCAACAATACCACGGCCAACTGATCTTCTGATAATTCTTCATCATAGTTGGTGAGGTCTTGGGTCAGATTGGTAAATCTATCAAGATTTTCTTCCAAATCTACTGAAGGATCCATTTTAAATGAGAAAAACTGTTTTAGTAAAAAATTTGGGACAGTTTTTGGTTCATATTTAGCCTTCAACTTAGTCCATAAGTCTTCTGCAGTTTTAGTTTCTCCTATGGACCTGATCACATTGTCAGAAAGGTATAAGAAGATAGTGCTCCAGGCTATTTCTTCCAATTCAGTTTTCTTATCTTCTTCAATACCAGTAGGCCATGAATTATCAAGAGCTTTAGCACATTTTAATTGCATCAATATAGCTCTCATTTTCTGACTCCACATACTAAAGTCTCCTCTCCCATCATACAGTTTCAATTCAAACTTAGCAGTAGCCATACTGAGTATAACACTTAGTTAATACACAATATACAGTACTAAGTTCAAGAAACACACAGGAACATACACAGTTGGAGACAACAGCAAACTCAAAATCTTTTTAGTGCCAATTTAACAATACACTTTAAACAAATTTCTCAAGACAGTAAAGAGTTAATACTTATTACAGGAGGCAGTATTATAACTGAACAGAGATTTCAAAAACACTGTGCCTCAACTGACTTCTCCTACAAGATCTTCCAATTGTACTTCTCACAGAGTTGTTATCTCAAATTCCCAAGACTTCAAGAGTCTTTGGACAAAGACCAATCACTGGAGTTTTAATAGTACAAGGTAAATCAAGGGAAAAAATTCAGGAGTCAAGCAATATGAAATTACTAATTTCAAGATACAGGAAAGATCTCACCAAAGAGTTCGTAAGAACTCAGATTCCTCCATCAACTGAGTTGACTGTCTTTTGAAGCAGGTTTCAGAAATCCAGATTAATCGAGAAGTCACAAAGCTCTGATACCACTGTTAATCAAAGAAATCATTCACGATTAAACCAAAATTTACACAAACCATTCAAAACAGAAATTTAAATGCAGAAAGTAAAGTGTAAACACAAAGATTTTTAGACCGAAGCCCCAGAGGTTCAGCTTAAAGCCTAATCCCCTGTTGAGCATCCATTATAAAACGGATCTAGCTCGGTTGCACTAAAAAACTCAAAATATGGAAGTCAAAATACAGAAGTACAGATCACAAGATAGTCACAGAGACTTATCTTTTTACACGAGGATGATTGAACTATGCTTCTCACAGGAATCACTCAGATCACTCAGATCTGTTACAAAGCACTACCGAACTCAAGAATCACTCAGATTCTAGTCACTAATCACTCAGAAAAGTTAAGCATTCATACAATCAGTAGTATTATAGTGAGATTACTGTATTTTCTCACTATTTTCTCTCAAGAAACTATATCACAGAAGAGAAAACACGAAGAGTTTTCAAAAAGAGCGTATGAACTCAAACGGCAGAGATAAAACCCTAGAAGAAAATGACGATTTAACTGAGTGAAATGAGTCCAATCAAAGTAAATAATATCAGAAGCATCCAGAAGCCTGATCCAACGGCCACCATCATCACACGTGTNGAAGTGTCAAACTTATTAAACACGATTTCAGCTTTAAAAATGTGGAAGCAATATGACCAAAGGTCCAGGGTTCGAACCCAACATAACATATGTTGTCAAAGGTATAAATATAAATAATTTTTTCTTTGAACAATATAAAATTTTCAATGAAGTAATTCTGATAATGTCATAGTACCTTAAATTCAAATCTTAACATTACACATTTATAAAAATTTACAAGTGAAATCCTAGTAGAAAAACACAAATGGATTGATAAAATTCACAAGCATTTTATGGTTTTGAGATCCAAATTGGAAAACAAATCTGTAACTGGAGATGAATGGTGTTGGTGACGATGGGTTAGCCGTGTCAGTGGTAGTGGTGGGTGCATTTCAAAGTTTTTCGAGGGTTTGAATTTGGTGGAGATGGAGAAGATATGACTTGAGTTGAACGTTTGATACTCGCGTGATTAGAAAAATTTCACTACACATTTAAATATCAATTTGCATTTGGGAGAATATCGTCAAATATAAATTGTAAAGCAATCCTTGAAGATCACATAATATTCATAGTTATGATACAGTACAAACAGAGACATTCGTACTTCTTAAGAGTTAAATTCGAGAGGCAAAGTTCTAAATAAAGCTTGTTAACTTGATAGTGTATTTGCATGAATTACATGAAAAACTAGGAATGAAGGATTGTTTGGAGGAAATTTGTGCTTAAAAAATTGTGGATATCATGAAATATATAGTTGAAAATGAAGTTGAGAAAAAAAATAATTTTTGAAAGAACATTGCTACATTTACACTATGATGTTTACTTTAGTTTATACTTTGCCACATGGTATTATCATATTAAACATTTTAAATTTCAAACAGTTTTTTATCCAATTGATACTTGACAACAATGCAAATGTCAACCAAAGTGTCAAAAACCAGTGTACAAATAATAAAGTTCATTTTGAATATATAATGGCGTCAAACTTCATAGGTTGAGTGCAATAAGAAGTTTTGAGGGTCTACGATTGCACATTGTAAAACACTCGATTGAAGGAGCGACTAAGAAGTATTGGACCAAAGTCAATTGGCCATGACTTTTTAAGTGGCTAGATTTTTTCAACGGTAACGCTATTTAACTTCACTTGTGTTAAAATATCATATTACATGGCATTAATATGACATTTAATGAGAAATACAATTAAATGAGTCACTTAATTTTACATATGCCCGAGTCTATTACATGGCATCATCTACACGAGTGTTATAGCACTGGTGCTAAATAACATTATTCTTTCCAACCGATCAAGGATTCATTCATTATGTTCAACAGGCTTCTTCGCATAATTGCATTGGTCGGCACATTACAGAGTCGCATGTTGCAATGTGAGATGGTGTATGATAACCCTGCTATGCTAGAATCAAGATAAAGAGAGTAATGGATCTATGCAAGTGTATAAAATTATAAATTACCACAAACATCCTGAAAATAAATGTTGGAATATAATCAAACCAGAGATTGTGTAACAATAGAAGCAAGTCTATGGGCCATCATGCTGCCTAGTCTAGGTACAAAGCAACACGAACCACAACTTACTTCACGTAACAAAGCTACAATAAAGAAAAGGTTCATAATGTAGCGAACTTAAATTAGACAACAAAACTTGCACTACTCGGAATGAATCACTCTCAGCAACCACCGCATTCGGCCGTTCTCAGATCACAGCACCAGCACCCACACGGCCTGAGCCCACAATCACCCCTGCATTGGTATTCGGTTTCGATGTCCCAGCAGCCGGAGGCAGCCATTGAACCACAGCTGGCTGTTCCTTCCTGTTTGTGAGTTGGGAGACGCCCATAGAAGCAACAAACTCACAACACGGCTCATGAGCACGCGCCCTTGAGCCTTGTCATTATGGACCATCTGACTGCGATCTCCCCATATCATCCGGACAGTCCCTGCAACCAGTTCGGAGACCACCTTTAATTCACGGCCAAGGAAAGCAAAATAATATTGGTCAAACTGAGTTTGCTAAGGTGTTTAAAAACTCCCCACCAGGCCGTGGCTTTTCAGATTGCCTTGCCACTCTTTAACACTTAGAAAAGCACGAATATTTGTCTCAACAACCTCACAAGTTTTACATTTCCGCTCAACCTAACTCGCTACATTTAGGCACCACACCGTGAACCAGACGCCAGACGAAAATTCTGATTTTTGTCGAATTTCCATCCGCCACATACGTCTCCACAAGCCACTGTGCAGCCTTCGCTCGTCCCTTCATCATCTTTGTTCTTAGCCAGCAATGATCTGTTTCCTTATCAATTTAGACATTGAGCTACACTAGTAGCTAGAGGAACTTCATCCCTCAAACTACAAAAAACTAAGAATGGAAAAAATATGTAATAATTATGTATCAATAAACAGTTGAGAGTAATCTCAACATGAAATTTTTATTGAGATCATAAATATTTACATTATGAGTCAACATTCTGAAATCAGAACATGAAAACAACAGTATAAAAAAAAACAAAAGAATTCAGGAACTTATTATAGATTGATTAGAATTGTTTTGGAACTTTTCTTTGATAGACAAAACTAAACAGATACATAATTACAGGAAAATGGTGAAAAATAGATAACCAGTTAATGGAAGATTGAATAGGCTCATCATGAACTTCTCCTTGAACTTGCACCACCTCAATGCTTCAATGGACAATCCTCCACTGTACGTAGTGAATTGAACTTGATACTGGAGTAAACAAGATTTCAATTTTATTTTTTTAATTTTTTAATTTTTTTAATGTTTTGCTTGCTTATTACTGTCAAGGACCATAGAATCCACTTCGCCAAAAAATTCATCTTCGCCAAGAAAAACGACTACGATAATCTGCCTCAAAGGTATGAAAGTGATGGGCTGTAGTGTTTGGTGCTGTGACTGCTCTTTCTTCCGGGAGGCTGCCCGCAAACGCACTGGCACTCGTATCCACATATGACTCCAAAGCACGAGAATAAGCCATTTCCACCTCTATCATTGCGCCGTCGAACACGTTGTTGGCTGGTCGATGAGAAGCTACTCGTCGAAAAGCCACGGTCGTAAATTGGAGGCAGCTCCTTCCGCCACCTCTCAAGTTTTGACATTGGCCCTTCAATGCTATCATCCAAGCTCCAGCCACTCAAAACCGAGCTTTCGTAATCATCCAAAGGATATTTCCTTTCCCGGGCAGCCAATGCTGCCGCCACCTCAGAAGGAGACGGCCCAACTTCGGAGATGGACAAAGTTGAACTTGGTTTGAACGGCACAAACTTGCCACTTGGCAACGACCCTTTTGCTTGACCATAGCCATATCCATTGGGTATCGGGATTGGAGGTTTTTCATCCCCAATTTTCTTACCATCTCTCACATGCACCTTATCAAACACCTTATGTTCTTCACCTTGTGTGCCATTATTCTTCTCAATTTCATCCTTATTTCTCTGGTATTTTGTTGTCAAATCTTGATTCACATTCTTAACATAAACAGAAGATTTTTTGCTAAAAATCGAATCACTTACAACAGAGCTTGCCTTTCCTTTCTTCCCTTTCTGCCTAGTTTTCCCTACCAATTCCGCGCCATTGATAACCGAACTCGCTTTCCCCTTCTTCTTCGTGCCTTCAACTGGATCCTCAATTTCTGAAAAACTCAAAATGCAACTCCCATTGTCTCTCTGTCCCGGGATAGCAACTAATGAACTGTTAGCCATAGAAAAACTATCAAAAGTAAAGCGCTCGCTGCGTTCACTTTTCGAACGCTGAAAAATGGGTTTCAAATTTGGAGGCTGATTGTTGTTTGAATTATGAAGATTTGAATCCTCCATTAGATCTCGAATTCCAACTGCCGAAGCACTGAGTTGTCTGTACAGTGGCATGCTTCGCATGGAGCTGTCGAGAAGGGCCACGCCAATGTTCAATATTCCCTGCGGACGCCCTGATGGACGACGAACCTGAAACATGCATGCATGTTATTTATATTCAAATCTAATTACGTAATAATTTTAAAAATATAATAAAAAGTAAAATAAAATTTTTATTTTGAAATTTTGAAATTTTTACTTTTTTGTAACGGTCTGCCTGATTTTGATTTGCATATGTAGGACAAATCTTTCTATTACCATTTCCGTTTTTTATTTTTTAAATTCATTTCGTACCTTTGACCGAGTATTTAGTTTGAGATTCGCTCGCTTTACAATTAGTTGTTTATTTCCGGAAAAAAAAAATTAAAAATTAAATCGACTTAATTTGAACCCAACAATACAATTAGTCTAATGACGAATAAATTTACGGCTCTATGACTAGACTCTACACAATTCAATAATATTATCGTATATGGTCATGATTCATGATTATGTTTTGTCCGAATTCATATTCATGTCATCAAATAAAACTAATATGCAAGACGGATCGAAAGAAAAAAATGTATATATTTCGAATGGATTATATTTTAAACCAAATGGGGTGACTATGGTATATTTTGGTGAGATAATAATGAACAATCCCATAAATGCCAACAAGATTCAGAAGAAACAAGAATGATCGGAAAACAAATCAATTTACATACCTGAAGTGCAACAAAACGCATTCCAAAATGGTGGCGTTTCCTCAAAGGCGGCGGCGGGATGAGGTTTCCGACGAGGACACGCACGGTGCCAACAAGGGTATCCCGGAACCAATTCACCGCGTAAATTTCAATCATAACTGCAGATGTATCTCGTCGAAGAAATTCTTCATCGACCCTAAAAACAAATTTGTCATTCCATGTAGGATTGACATGGCCTTTGGCATCAACACTCGAAGAAAGTTTTCGATCCGAATGCACCCATGCTTTGGTATATGTTTTCATTTTCCTCGACACATGCTCCAAATCTTGGGCAGAAATGATGTTTATTTCTAAAAGTTGGAAAGGTTTCAAGATAGCCATATTGGGCGGCGCTGCCAATGTACATACGTTTTATGGTGGCGGACGACGGAGAAAGGGACGTCCGCTCGCCAACGAGGGAAAGACTGGTATCAACCGGGGAGAGATGATACCTAGCAGAAT